ATAAGTTCTATACTAAGACCAAAATATGAATATTTATTAAAAAAACATTTTTGAGGGATATTTGTTTTTATTGTAAAGGTATATTTACAGAGAAAAGAGAAACACACAGAGAGATTTTCCATTCACTGATTCACTCCCCAGGCAGCCGCAACGGCTGCAGCTGAGCTGATACGAAGCCAGGAGTCAGATGTTTCCTCTGGATCTCCCACATGCGTCCAGAGTCCCAAGGCTTTGGGCCACTTCTCACTGCTTTCCCAGGCCACAGGTAGGGAGCTGGATGGGAAGCAAATTGGCACCCATAAGGATCCCAGCACATGCAAGGTGAGGTTTTAGCTACAAGATTATTGTGCCGGGCCGCGATAGATCACTTTTTAAATGAAATGTTCTGGTCATTGGTGCCTTTGTCCATTGACATCTCCTTAATGGTAAGACTGGCAGTTTCATGGTGAAGCTCGTTCCTGGTATCTGTGCCCTCACATCCCTCATATCACAGTACAGAATCTCTACCATCCTGAAGATGTTATCACTGCATAAACTCATCACTTCTCTGTAATGAAGAGCAAGACTTGGAACTTGGCTTAAAATTAAGAAGTCAGTGTTTACCTTCCATCCGAAGAGCCTGAAGAAAGGAAAAGTTATAGTGGGAGAAAGAATATGATGAATACAATGAATTTCTGAAGATTCCCAGATTGGGGCCCCGCACAGTGGCCTAGTGGTTAAAGTCCTCACCTTGCATGTACTGGGATCCCATAGGGGCGCCACTTCTAATCCTGGGGGCCCCGCTTCCCATCCAGCTCCCTACTGCAGCCTGAGAAGGCAGTCAAGGACAGCCCAAAGCCTTGGGACCCTGCACCCGTGTGGGAGACCCAGAAGAAGCTCCTGGCTCCTGGCTTAGGATCGGCTTAGTTCTGGCTATTGCAGCCACTTGGGGAGTGAATCATTGGGTAGAAGATCTTCCTCACTGTCTCTCCTCCTCTCCTCTCTCTTTCAATAAAAATAAATAAATCTTTTAAAAAATAATAAAATTTTAAAAGATTCCTGTAATGAAGGAGAATAAAAGACTAAGTGAAAGAATTAGGATGAAAGATATTTACTGTAAAAGACATAAGAAAACCTATGAGTAAGGAAGGTAGGGATTCATAAATAGTTGGGTGTGCTTTGTGGGAAGTTGTCATAAAACACAACCAATACCGATGAGCCTGGCTTACGCTATGGAATGCCATGGATTTACAGGAGTGTCACTTGGGGTGGGTACAGAGATGAACAATTCACATCTCCCTTCCTGGGGAAGTTCTGCCTAGCTGCCAGAGTGCTGCTGGTAGGGAGCCTCCAGCTGCAGGAAGTTGCTGCTGCCAGGTGGAGAATCAAAGTCCCAGATATAAGATAAGAACTCTTAACAGGTTATTCCAGCTTCAGGGTCCCTGCGTGGTTGGGTGAGGCTGTCAGGGCCACTGGACTGCTGACTTCTCAGCCTTGTCCTGGCTCTTCCTCCCACAGGGCTGTCCCAGAGGGCACTCCCAAATACACATCCTGCAAACCACACTCTCTGTCTACTTCCTGCAGATGTCAAAATGCACCAGCATCTTGCTTACTTAAATAGAACCACACTCAGAGCATCTTAGTGAATAGAAAAAATCACCATCAATTATGTGGTAACATTTTCCTTCAAGCATTCCCATATTTCTTCTTTGAATTGTTTATGCTTAGCACGATATTACCTTTCACCTAGGTTTGTTACTCACATTCATTTGCTGCTTCTAACCTCACTCCCTTAGGAATTATATTGTGGAAAGAAGAAAGGGGGGGCGTTGAGTAGGGAAAACAGGCTCTTCATTATCCAGGCACTGAGGTAAGCCACTGTTTCCAGACTGGCCTGGGCAACAAGGAGGGAAATATACAGGGAAATGCGACAGGACTTGTGTTCTGAATACTCAAGCAATGGAACGTTCTGAAGTGGTTCAGTGATCAAGAGGCCATCCACGCATGTCGTCCCCAGTCATGACGGTGGGCACTTGGCGCATTGCTGGGTGCTAGCATTCTACATTGGTAGATTTGCTAGTTTGATTGCTAATTTTAGCTCTTAACTCCAGATTCCTGCTAATATGGATCTTCACGCAACAGGGTCCATTCCACCCACCTAGGAAATGCTGCTTGCATTCCCAAATTCGGAAATGAACCAATGGATGGGCTTTCCCTCACCTTCTTCCTCCTTGTACTGTATACTTTCTCTGAAAAAAAAAATTAATATAAAAAAGCATACGTGAGCTGTGTTATCAGCTCTATCAGAAAAGGAGATATGTCCATCCTGCCTTCCTCCATCCTCCAGAGTGGGCAGAACAGTGTTATCCCCAGGCAGCCCTCTCCTGTGAAAAGTCTCAGCCATGGGGCCTGGCGCAGTAGCCTAGTGCAAGTCCTCGCCTTGCATGCACCAGGATGCCATATGGGTGCCAGTTTGTGTCCCATCTGCTCCACTCCCCATCCAGCTGTCTGCTTGTGGCCTGGGAAAGCAGTGGAGGATGGCCCAAAGCCTTGGGACCCTGCACCTGCATGAGAGACCTGGAAGAAGCTCCTGGCTCTTGGTTTTGGACTGATGCAGCTTTGGCCATTGCGGTCACCTGGGGGAGTGAACCAGTGGATGGAAGATCTGACTCTCCTTTTCTCTGTAAACCTGTCTTTCCAATAAAGATAAATATATATACTTTAAAGTCTCTGCCATGTTGGCAAGTCAAGAGGGAGTGAGCTTTAAGGCAGACTTCATTATCTTTCGACTTCTGCTCCTTGCAAATAGTTCTGGTTTAGTGCCTTTGTTTAGACTCTTCTGGGAAATATACGTTACCAGAAGATGACTAAGGGCAGAGAGCAAGTCTGATATTCATTGTGGGAAAAAAGAGGATGGGGAAGTGATTGCATTGACAATACAGACCAGAAACCCACAGGCAAAATTGAAAGTGTGTGTGTGTGTGTGTGTGTGTGTGTGTGTGTGTTACAGGATTGTCTGAATAGCAATGACCTCAGATGCTACAAAGTAATTGTTAGATGATGGCCACCAACCGCCCCCCCCCACCCCCCGCTGGTGGAATAATGTTGGCAAGTTGTTCAGAGTTGAGATGGAAGCTTTATTGGAAAATCCGCTCCTGGGCCCCCTTCGCGCAGAGGGGAAGGAAGAGGGAAGCGAAAAGGGCATCTGAGATACGCGTGGAGGAGTTTTATACTCCTCTAGACACGTGGGAAGGCAAAGGGGCTGTCTGTGCCCCAACTATGCAAGGAATGTCCATTCAGGTGTGCCATTGGTCACCTGGAATCCCGCCAGGTAAGTGACGTAACTGGCTCCTGTGGCCCCCTCCTCCTGTTCCAGGCTGGAGCCTAGGAGATGTCCGGGCGGGGCAGACCAGACCCTAGTCTCCAGTGCCCTGGGCAGCCATCAGTAATCATTCCTTGATGTCACTTTGAGACTGGTCCCATCCCAAATCCGAATACGGTTTTAGTCCCCTGACGCAAAATGATGCAGTACCTGCATATAACCTACGCAACTCTCCCCCATATCTTTAGTCATCTCCCGCTTCTTACAATGTCTAACACACAAACTCTTATTTTTTCTCAATAGCAAAATCAGATATACAGAGAGTAGCAGAGACAGCGAGGAAGATCTTCCATCCGATGATTCACTCCCCAATGTTCCCAATGGTCTGAGCTGAGCCAATCCTAAACCAGAAGCCAGGAACTCTTCCAGGTGTCCCAAGCAGGTGCAGGGTCTCAAGGCTTTGGGCCGTCCTCCACTGCTTTCCCAGGCCACAAGTAGGGAGCTGGATGAGAACTGGGGCTGCCTGGATTAGAACCAGTGCCCATGTGGGTTCCCGGTGCGTTCAAGGTGAGGACTTTAGCCACTAGGCTACCACACGAGCCCACATCAACTCTTTGCATTAGGCTATTAAGACTACTGTTTACAGAACAGGGAAACTTAAAAATTATTTAATCCGTGGTTGTTTAAAAACAAGGATAGGCAAGATGTAGCTAAGGAGAGCCACTGAGGAACCGAATTGTCTTAGGTTTTTCCTGCTGGGGTCCTGTGCGTGCCTTACTTCTCGTTTATTTTGCATACTCCCTTCAATCATACTGTTCGCTTGGGAGTGTGACGATGTTTCCTGGAAGGCAAGGCAACTATTTTTGAGAAGGGAGGAGGGAGGAAGAAAAGACACATGATTACAGAGGAAATACTTTTCCCTAAGGATTCCAGTGAACGCAAAATCTTTAGGGGGGGGGGGGTGGCCGCGGCGTGGCGGTGGCGTGGCCTAGTGGCTAAAGTCCTCGCCTTGAACGTGCCAGGGGATCCCATATGGGTACCGGTTCTAATCCCAGCAGCTCCACTTCCCATCCAGTTCCCTGCTTGTGTCCCAATGCTTTGGGACCCTGCACCCTTGTGGGAGACCTGGAAAAAGTTCCTGGATCCTGGCTTCGGATCAGCATAGCATCGGCCGTATCGGACAGATCTTCCTCTCTGTCTCTCCTCCTCTCTGTATATCTGACTTTGCAATAAATAACTAAATCTTAAAAAAAAAAAATCTTTAGAGGGGTCTCAGTTTTTCCCCCTGTAAAAATGGGATCAGCAGATTTAACAGGGAACCTGGGGAAACCACTGACAGCCCGGACCAAGGAATATTCAATAAACGTGCTCCTCTGTCCACCTCCCCCGAGCTGGGAAATGACTTCCTGATCCCACCCATCCACCCCTCGCGTCTGATAGATCCTTCTTCCCAGTGCTACTCCTTGTTGTGGCAATGGAGATCAAGTAGCAGCTCTCCCTGTCTCTTCCTTCCTTTCTTCGGTTCTCTCCAAGACTAGGAAGCAGCTGTCTTTGTTCCTAGGGATTCGGAAGCTTGTGTCACCAGGGGCAGCCCAGCCCGGTGCTTGGCTAAGGTCCTTGGGAGGAGGGCAGTGGCTCGGCCTGCGCGGCGCAGCGGGAGGCGACCCGGAGGCGATGGGGAGGCGGGCGCAGACGACCTAAGGGTGGAGAAGGGGGAAGGAGAAGGACGCGCGTTCCCGGGCTCGTGACCGCCGGCGGCCAGGGGAACCGGTGCCCAGCCAGCACTGCAGAGATGGCAGGCAGCGGGGACCTGCGACTCGCGGGATCCCACCACCACCTGCTGCTGCTAGTCGCTGCCCTGATTCTGGCTGCCACGCGGGTCAGCGGAAGCGCTGCAGCCTGGACCGAAGAGAAGGTGAGTGACTGCGTTTTACGTGACGGTACCTGCGTGGCTCTGGCCCAGTGCGGAGACCCCGGGTCCAGCCTGCCCCACCGAGGCAGAGCGGGAGGCGGGGCAAGGCTGCGGTTCCTCGGCCAGCCGCCCGAGAGCGCGGAGCTTTCGGGGCTCTGGGTCCTCTCCACCCGTGTCGCTACCGGCCTCGGGGGCGTCGGGGGGACCGGGTGATGTCACCACTTTCCTAGGCAGCGATCTGATGGGGTTGTTAATGGACGCTGGAAGCCTTTTCGCCTGCGGCGCCAGCGCTGAGGTGAGGGCCAGTGTACCAGGCGCCCCAGGGCGCCTGGGAGTGGGGTGGGGTGGGCCGGGGATGTGCCCCTGGTTTTTTTTTTTTTTGGTTATGATTGTCCAAGGATGCTCTTGGGGTGTGCAAGTTTCCCTTTCGTCCCAGGATGCGGTGAATGAGAAATTTACTTGATTTTTTTTTTTTAAAAAGGAGAGCAACCCAGGAGGAAGGACATCTTACTGGAGTTTATTTAAAAGATTTAAAAGATGACATACTATTTTCAGAGAAGTAGTATCTGGTGGCAGATGGAAATCTCATAGAAGAAGCCTAAGGCAAAAGAGATTTGCAAGTTTCTCTGCGTTAAGTACATAGGTTCACAAATAATTTCTTGTAACAGTTTTGAAATCATGTTGCTAAGGGCTTGTGAGAATGTTCATGGGCTTGGAGCAAAAAGGTGTGCTTTCAAAGACACTAAGGAAAGCAGCAGCAAAGTCAAGGGCATACACTTTGACAATGTTTGCAACTTCACTAGATGCCTGTGTTTGCTCAGTTGGTGAAATACAGGGCACACTGGTTAAAGTCCACTGCAACCCGGCCAACGTATGTGGATAAATAGCCCACTTCAGCCCTCGGAGCTCTCTTTAATTAGCTTTCCCACAGAGGACCCACCACAGCCCCCGCCCCCCCCCCCCCACATGTGAAGACCTCCCTCCTGGGGAAGTCTGGAGGAAAGTTAACTCAAGACCACTTCATTACAAGAAAAACATCTTCCCATGGGGCTTAGGAAGGCCCATGAAGAAGGCCATTGAATTCCATGCACAAATGCCCCCCTTCTTTGCTGGGAATACTTTGCTGGTTGGAAATGGACAAGGGGAGCCGCTCCAAACATATCTTTAGGATGAATGGAAATGAAGGGGAATAAACAAGATGGAAAGTGTTACTAAGCCACTCTCAGGCGCACCTCTGCATGTAAGAGTAGACGGGGGCACTTGTGAGTGGAGAAAGTGCTGTGATTCTTAAACTATTTTAAGCCAACGAGCACTTAAATGTCGAGAAATATCTTCTTTTTTTAAAGCATGAATCCCTTTTATGTTTATTTTTAGAAGTTTTGAATCATTGCTCCACTGGGAAACCGAATACTTTCAAATGTTGTAAACAAAGACAATGGTATAAGTATATGGTAGCCGGCTGTGACATTTCTGGAGTTCAAACTCTCCCCTTATTCTGTAGTCCTCCCTAAAGTTTTCTGGGCGGCTAGCCTGCAGCCTGGGTGCTGAATCAGTCCACATTCAAAGACACGCTTTCCTGCTTTTGATGCCATCTGGCTATTTTAATCCTGTGAGGTGTGCCCTTGGTACACTGGTCTGCCGAGCATCGATTGTGAAATCTGTTTCCTTTGTTTTGAAAGAAAGGTGTGTCTCTTTCAGTGGCATCTAATATGTAAAAACACGTCAATTCTAGTTCATGGCTGTGTTCAGAAGACCAAGATTTGGCTATTATTTTTGAGACCTGGAAACAATTCTTTCATAAAACTGGTATTTATAAATTGTTGTGGGTTCATGATAGATATTTAGGGGCGATGTCATCTGAGTACCATGCATCTTTCCCTCTCTCCCCCCCCCTCTCTCTCTCTCTCTCACACACACACACACACACACACACACGTATATGTATAAGACCATCTCACTCGACCTTAACAAAATTCCTGTGAGGAGGAATCCCCAGATGAGGAAATTTGGTCACTAAACTTGCCCACAGATGAGGAAACTTGAACGCTATTACAACAGCAGGTTGAAGAGGTTGGCTTCCTCTCGGATCTTTTCTCATCTCTGTTCACTAAGGTGGGTGAGTCCTGACTGAGACCCAGGAAGCAGTGTCCAGTGAGTGCTGGGGTGGGGGCTGGTGTGGGGCTGGTGTGAGGTTGTGGATCAGGGTGCACACAAGTGGTGATGTAAAATGGGTCATTTGGTTTGGGTTACTGTTCTTTTCTCACCCTCTGGTCTCCTCTTTCCTTAGTCTTTTTCATGTAGCTAGAAGGCCATCATTTTTCTGGGGAATTGATCCATATCCCAAAGTCAACTTCTCCTGATTGTTACCTCCACTCCACTCACAGCCCTGTTTCTTTAGGACAGGTGCTTTCCTTGGGTGCAACATGGTCAACCAGCTGCTAAAAGGAATCTCATAAAATCTGTCCTCCTTTGGATGTGAATGGCTGATGAATGTTAACGGGTTTCATAAAAGGACGTTAGCTCCCATAAAGTTAAAATATATGGCTTTTATTTCAGTTCCTTAATTATAGAGTTAACATCTGCACTCTTTGGAAAATAGGGAAAGTATATTAAAATGAAAACTAATGTCCCCTACCATACTGTTGTGGGTATTTACTTATATAATGATAACAGTTATACCAGGCTTATTAGTTTTTGTGAGGAATTAATGAGCTCATCCATGGAAAGCAAATAGTAACAATAGCTGGCTTATGGCAAATGCTCCATTAAGGCTAATTACTTATTTTAAAAGAAATACACATGAACATATCTCATATCTTGCTATACTGCTTAGTACTGAGTATTGCCTCATCCCAGGAAAATTCATAGAAAACATCATTTAGTGATTGCAAAGTCGCCTCATTCCATCACTGACCTATTTCTTTATTCTTGATTGCCTGGGTTATTTCCAGATTTTCTTTATGTCTACATCAATATTCAGTGTATTGTCGCTGGCACAATGTATTGTTTCATTGCGATAAAGGTGCGGCTGGAGGGGTAGAGCTTTTGAAGTGCTGGCTTTGTGGAAGGGTTGTTTTCCTGGGTGGGCACTGGCACGCTGCCCATGGCTGCTTTGGGAGCCACCTTGGTTCTAAAAGTCTGCAGGGCTTCCCTTGGTCAAGGCTCTGTCGCCTTTGGCTCTGCCGCCCTATCTGCAGGGACAAGATCAGAGGGGCTGGGGGTTGGGAGAAGAAACACAAATGTCATTTGGGAGCCTCTGCCATCCGTTTCATGAATGAGGAATTTGTTCTATCCTCTTAAGATTTATGAACTTGAAAGTTGATGCCACACACACACACATACATACACACAAAACTTTCATCCAGTGGGTCACTCTCCAGGGACCCAAGGCTGGGCCAGGACAAAGCGAAGAAGCAGGAGCTTCAGCCATGTCTCCCACATGGTGGCAGAGGCTCAAGAACAGGGAGCTGGGTCAGAGGTGGAGTGGTTCTCATAGAGGATGCTGGCGTCCTAGGCAGTAGCTTTACTTGTTATACCACAACACCAGCCCTGAGACACAGCTAATAACAGAGAAAACTGTGATTTGGCCCTAAATTATTGTGTTTAAGCCAGCAGTGTTCTGCTTTCAAACAGAGGGTCACTTGGATTTTTAAAAAGCCAGACGTCATCTTAGTCAGTTCCCAGCTCTTTCCCAATACCATTCATAATGGCAGTGGCGTCTGTCATGAAGTTCAGTAAATGCTGGCTGAGCTACATCTGGGAGTGGCCAGAGGTGTTAACCTGAGGGTTCTCAGAGAGGCAAGTCATTTGAGTGGAAGCCAGACCTGACTTGGCAGGCGCTCCGGTAATGATCTCTCTTGAATTCAATGGTTTGGAGCCTCAACTCCTCCTGCAAGGTGGGCCAGTTCAACAAATTATGTAATTAAAACCCTCTCTTGTCTGGTATCATGTGATAAGCCTAGAAGAGAGGCTTCAGGATATCTGGTTCACACCTTTTTAGCTGAAAGATTCTTGTCACCCTGTACAGACTGATTATCCTTTCTGCCTGGGTAGAAAGACAAGGCAAGGGCTGTAACAGAGCCTTGTTCCTCTGAGACTGCCTGCACCAATAGGAAATCGTCAATAGAAATGGTCAAGGTTGGAGTGAAATTAACCTAGAATACACTGGAGCTTGCATTGACGTTGGGCTTAGCTCCATTCTTCCTGCTGAGGTTATGCATTTGTACCCGCTGTGTTCTCTCATGTATTACTCCCATCTCCACATACATCTTTTTTTTTTTTAAAGATTTATTTATTTCCATTGGAAAGTCACATCCACAGAAAGGTGGAGAGACAGAGAGTGTGGTCCTTTGCTGATTTACTCCCCAAGTGACCACACAGAGTTGAGCCAATCCAAAGCCAGGAGCTTGTTCCAAGTCTCCCCTGTGGGTGCAGGGTCCCAAGGCTTTGGGATGTTCTCGACTGCTTTCCCAGGGCACAAGCTGGAAGTTGGATGGGAAGCGGGGCTGCTGGGATTAGAACCGGTGCCCTTATGGGATCCTGGCATGTGCTAGATGAGGAGTTTAGTTGCTATGCTGCTGCTGTGTCAGGCCCTCCACATACATCTTAATTGTTCTGAGATAAAAGCTCCTTAATAACTGAGGGGCATTTGGAGGCTCACATCCCAGATGGGAGCACTTGGGTTCAAATCGTGACTCTGCTCCGCATTGCAGTGTTTTACTCGTGTGCACCCTGGAGGCAGCAATGATGGCTGGCTTGCTGTGTCCCTGTGGAAGACCTGGATTGAATTTGCAGCTCCTGGCTTTGGCCTTGCCCAATTCTGGTGTTTTAGGAGGGATCAGCTGAGGGGATCTCTCTCTGTATGTGTGTCTCTGTGCCTCTCAAATGACTAGAATGTATGTTAGGTTGGGAGAGTCAAATACTGTTACGCGTAGAGCTTTAGTGGATGGAAGGGCTGATTAGATGAAGTGAATCGTTGTTCCCTTTCTCTATGCTTTACCAAC